GGGGGGTAGATAGAAACAAAGAGTTTTCTCTGTTTGCTTATTTCCTGCCTCTCATTGTCACATTTTTGTACAAACTAATTCTCATAACCACCTATAATTTATACTGCTTGCAACTGGCACTATGCCCTGTATTATGTATTTTATAAATACATGTTATCATATATTTTTGTAAAAGTAATAATTTGTATAAAATAAATATTTTATATGATAATTAAGAGACTAGTTTGCAGTACCTAAGCTGCAAGAGCTCAACTATTTATCTTCTGCTACTTCTAAATTTAATTAGGGAAATAAAAGTAAATTTTTAAAAATCTAGAAACAATTTTTTATATAGTCTAACGTCTTTGAAAAATCAATCCCAAAGTCAGTCGTGAAAGTTAGAATACCGAACTCTGAAACCAGGTACACGCTCTGGATTTTATGTGTTTGTGAAAGAATTGTGACAAAGTTGCAAAAAATTTTTAAGTGATTTTCAATCAAAATCTATTTAATGTTAAATGCTTCAGTATTATTTTCTGGCATAAATTTCCACTTGACATTTACACAAACCTTCTTAATTAGTTCTACACACAAGTGAGGTAGAATAGTTCTAACAACAATTTCAAGCATAAATGTTAAGAATACTGTATTTGGTAGGTTGGCAAAAATGGCCAATACAGCGAGATGACTGACGTCTCTTAGACATCACATGGGTTTTTTTTTTCTTTTTTAAATTACTATTTTACATCTCTTTTTAAAAATTCATTTTCAATTACACTGGACATACAGTATTATATTAGTTTCAGATATACAACGTAGTGATTAGACATTTCTATACTTTATGAAGTGATCACCCCAGTAGGTCTAGTATCCATCTCACACCATACAGTTATCACAATATTATTGATTATATTCTCTACTTTATATCCACATGGCTATTTTTATAACTGGCAATTTATATTTATTAATCCCTTTCACATTTTTCACCCATTCCCCATAATCTCCCTCCCACCTAGCAACCAACAATTTGTTCTATCAGTTTGTTTCTGTTTTGTTTGGTCATTTATTGTGTTCTTTAGATTCCACATGTAAGTGAAATCATATGGTATGTGTCTTTCTCTGTCTGACTTATTTCATGTACCATAAGACCCTCTAGGACCACCCATTTTGTCAGAAAAGTAAGAGTTCATTGATTTTTATGGCTGAGTAATATTCCATTGTATATCTGTACCATATCTTCTTTTCCTACTCATATATCAAAGGACACCTAGGTTGTTTCCACATCTTGACTATTGTAAATAATGCCGCAGTTAACACAGGAATGCTTGTATCTTTTCAAATTACTGTTTTGGAATTCTTTGGGTAAACACTCAGAAGTGGAATTGCTAGGTCATATGGTGACTCTATTTTTAATTTTTTGGGAACCTCCATACTGTTTTGCATAGTGGTTAGACCATGTTGACCAAATGTGCATGTAAGTTATACTGGGAATAATTTTTGAAATCACTATGCCACAAAACTATGAATAAATATTTGCTTTCTGCTTTAAATTATAGAACTACATTAAACATAGTTATTAAATACAGCTAGAATTATTTTTGTAGGAGTCTAATGATTTCTCCATTAACTGGGAAATAGGTACCAGATTTAATTTTCATTTAAATATATTTTTTGTATTCCATATTCTTTTTAATTCCATAATCTGTGACAGATTGGCTATGCAGATTATTACTTTTTAAATTATTATCATAAAAAAGTAAAAATAATAAAAATGTTATTCCAGTCCACTTTAATTGTCTGTTATTTTTTAAAGTCACCACAAATCAATGGTATTTTAGCTGATTACATTGAAACCACTATTATCTGAAAGTATTTTGCAATGTGCACATGCTTGATTTTAAATTTTATTTTTTATACTTTTGACTCATTTTCCAATTACTTACCTCTTTTCCAGCCCCATATTTACCTCAGCACTAGAACACATTATGTAAAACTAGCATAAATTATAGTGTTGCTATTTTTTAAAAATCTGCATGGAACTGTAAATACTTTTGCAAATGTTTACTCTTAAAAATCACCACTTAAAACTGGTTATAAGCTTGCCTTTACTTTAGAGTTTTATATATATTAATATTATTCTTTGGAATATATGCTCATATATTATCAGTCTTTTGAGAATTAGAATAACTATATTTCCTTGTATGTTTTGCACTGACATATTCATGAGGACAACAGAATTTAAGGCTAGCATTTGTTCAACATAAAATATCTTTAATTAATGGCTTTATAATATTTTAGAAAAGAGGGGGAAAAAGAAAATAATTTCCAAAAATATATTCAAACATTAAGCCAATTATAAAAAGACAATTAAACATGCCTTCCAATAAATTATAAACTGGCAGAATGAATATTCTGGACATTGTGAGTTTGCCAGAAAAAGCTCACACTTTGGGGAATTCTACACAAAAATATAGAAAATATCCTCCTAGCTGTAGATAATTAAATTATGGCAAAAACTGAAGTTTTACAAATGTCATATTAATTATTATGATCAATTAAAATGTTAAAATACTTCACACTTGCTTGATTTTTAAATAAAATTTAGAACTATCCATGGGTAAAAAGATAAAAAAAAATTATATTCTTAGTAGAATAAATAGTTCATGTAGACATATGAAATCATTACTATTTTAAATATCACCAGAAGATGAGTTTGTTAGTGACTCCCTCTAAGGAAATATTTACTCATTAAATGAGAATTACTAAAAATAAATCGTTCTACCATTAAAAGAAAAATATTTTTTTTACTTTATGTTTTATTTCTAAAAATGCATATCAATACTTTTTGATATTACAGTTGTTAAATTGTGAAGCTTCTAAAATGTAGTGAGAAAAACTCAGTATTCCGGTTTAAAAATTAAGAAATTTTAAAAGTCTAAAAATGTAAGCCCATCATTGAAGAAAAGCTGTTCATGTTAACATGTACTGTATGACTGCATAAACTTCTTTTTAAAACCCTGCTAATACATGTAATTTACTAAACTTAAGAAGTAAGTTTTTTTAGCCTTACCCAATAGGCCTTGAAACAATAATTTCAACTTGAGGTTCTGATTTTGATTCTAAAATAATGTTGTAAACTTCTTCATTTGTAGCTCCCGGCAGGGGTTTACCATTCCATTCTAGAACTTCATCCCCTTGAATTTAAAGAAAAGGGTATTTTTTTACCTTATATAGTCTGTGTATTTTTCTTATCTTTTCTCTTTTTCTTACAAAGAAATGCAAAACATATACAAATAGTTTAATTTTCTAGGCTCTGCTCTAAAAAAAAATTTGATTTCCATATAAGTTCAGCTTCATGGTTCTTCTAGACACTTTTCTTTCTTTTTTTTTTCTTTTTCTTTCCCCCAATGAATCCTACTGGTCACTAAAAACAGTACAATACAGAACTACCTTTACCTTCTGAAATATACCACAAATAACATAAAAATAATCTCATGCTATGGGATGGAATTAGCACAGCTTATTTGGAAACATTAAAAAATAATAATTAGCAGCATGCCCTCCACATAATAAATGTAGGCATCTCTAAATGTAAAAAATTCTTATTAAACTCTGCATAAATCCTGCTTTATTTTTGGTAGAAATTGCAATTAACATTTGTTAGCATGAATTCCCCAGTTATAAGTCATGCTTCATTGTCTTCACCAGATGCACAACAGAATAAAAATGCATGAAAGGACTTGAATTCATACCCATAGGGCAACGCAGGTAGCTATGGCAAAGTTACAAAGCAAGCAGATGTAAAACTGTTGCATGACAGTTAACCCACTTCCAGATGTTCATAACACACACATTCTATACATAATATATATTGTGAGCATTAAAGTAAAGAAAATATTTTTAAAATAATAAAAAATTAAGAGTACTCATTAGTTTGTTAAATATTCTGAGATTAATCAAGGAGAGTACATGATACCATGTTACAATACATGGTTAACAACTTGATATTTTTAACTAGAGTTGCACCACAGATCATTTGGGAAATAGTGTTTTTTTTCATAAATATTTAGTGAAGTTTTAGGTCCCAAATGGTTCTCTGTCCAGTACATTTCCATACACTATGTAAGGCTTAGCTAAACTATCCCAGCCTCAATGATACCTTGAGGCATCTTAATTTTTTTGTTCCTACTTATTTTGTTGTTCTCAGTGTCTAGAACATTTTAATAGTTACATAAATATTTTCTGAACTAGTGAATCAGTATCATCATAACCACAAACATGAAATCTTTTCCTTTTTAGCTAGCTTTTTTTTAAGTAGAAAACTTTGTTTGATAGGACTATATTAAAGTAATTTTTTTTCAGCCAAATGTTTGCTGAGAAAGAAAGAGTAAATATCGGAAAAGCACATGCTGCTGCTTTGGTCTGGGGCTCAATGGGGGGAAAAAGGGCATCTGTATCCAACAAAAATGATAAAGTAGAAAAAAGATTACAGTTACTACCAATTGTTAAATGACTTCTAATAGTTTGACCTAAGAAGTTCCCTAGCCAGGTTTATGAAGTAGGCAATAAGTATACTTTACATAAAAAAGAAATAAAATAATTAAAAATTTAAATATAAATTAAGTCAAAAAATAAATGTTTTGGCCAAGAAAATAAAGTTTACATCATGTGAATGTATATATGTATATGTGTGTGTATATGTATGAAAAAATATTTTCTGGAACAATACTTACCTTGATATTTTCTGTTCTACTATGCTCTATTTCACTTTTTTAAAATGATGTATGCAAACCATTAAATCAATTTTACTACCCAGTAATGTGCTACAATCAACATTTTGCAAAAGCACAGCATTATAAAATTCTCCTCTTTATAAATGCAACCTGGAAGTATAACTTCTAATATCAAATTAACTTAATACATGTATTTATTTGTTTACAAATCAATACATCCTAAACCATAAGGTAGTCTCTTTAACAATATTTATTTATATATGAATAATCTCTTCAGGCAGGGATGTAGAGTCTGATGATACAAAGATAAAAAAGAGAGTGTATCTGTCCTTAAATTTGATGGGGAGAAATATGGAAAAAAGTACTCTTCATAATATGACAGGAGTTCACCTGAGGAAAAGAAATAGAGCGAGAAAGTGCCAAGGGGGTAGCAATTAGTTACTGCTTCGGGTGAGATATCAAGAAATACTTTAGAACTAAGACATCTTTAGGTGAGTTTTGAAGGATGGAAAGGACTTCAACAGGCAGAGCATGAGAGCAGAAAAGAAACCAGGTGAACTAGAGAAAGTGACTGGGTTTTATAGGCAGAAGCAGCTGCCAGGGACCGACAAGTAGACTGCCATGGCTGGAGGGTAAAGTGAATGGCAATCGAAGTGGCTGGAATTGTTCACAGGGGACAAAGCTACAGAGCTTTGACTTGAGCTGATCACGACTGGGAGGCACTGAAGAGTCTACAAGGAGAGTGTCAGTGTCATTTTGGATTTCTGATGATTCTATAAAGTAGCAGTACAGTGCATGAACTTAAGAGGGGCATCTGAAGTAGAGAAAGCAATGCAAGATTAAAGAAGATTGCAAATCTCAGGATCTAGGCACACAAGCGTTTTAAATAAATAAAATTTTTAAAACACCTTTTGCAGACTATCTTAAGTAATCTTCTATTTAAAAACAAAGACAAAATCAATCTGAAAATTTGGGTTTGTGGAGTTAAAGTTTACCTTATACTGGAGTAGTCAACAAGAGCCTTATACTTCCTAAGGCTTATTTTTGAGTCATCAAATAGGCAAAGACTAAATTTACTGACATAGTTGCTCTTGATTGAGTTACTGAGTGATAACCAGTCCCTGATAAGAAATAATAGGGTATTCTGCCTCTGCACATCTTCAAAGCTGTATGTATAGTAGATAAAATAAACAACCCCAATATGAATTTTCTCTCTATACAACATCTGCATAGCATGTTCCTATCAAACAAAAACCTAAATGATGTTGAGCTGTTATCCTAGTAATGAGTTATAACAAAATGTCTTTAACAGTCATAGAATATTTTTCTATAAAATTCAGCAATTACAATCTGAAGGTATAAAAAGTGAAAACATAGCCTAGAAATGCTCTCCTCTTCATCTGTAGCTCCCAGCAGGGATTTACCATTCTATTTGAAAGTTCATCCCCCTCAATAAAAAAAGTATATTGTTTTATCTTATATAGTCTGCTTATTTTTCTTATCTTTTCTCATTTTTACAAATAAATGCAAAACACATACAAACAGTTTAATTGTCTAGGCTCCGTTCTCAAAAGAAAATCTGTTGCTCATGAGTACAATATATGTCACATTTAAATTAACCAGTATTTTACTACATAGTATGTATAAGAAATGTGATTGGGATTATATTTTATTAAAAACACTGCTACCGTGTTTTGGAATCACTGTGAAAAACTGTACAAATTATTATAGCTTAAATATAAACTAAAGAAATAAATAACGATATTATTTTTTCCAAAGGCTAAATCGTTTATATATTTGTAGCAACATTATAAAGCCATCTATGAAAATTAGCAATCCTTCAGCATTTTGCATCTATTTATTTTTACATAAATAAAAAAGGATTCTTACCTATACTTACTCTCTCAAAACTGCTAGTGATGATATCAAGGAAAAAATATTTATTCATGCATTAAAATTAGCTATTTACTTAATTGACTTATTTATAACTTACCCAAATTTGAAAACCACCAACTCATGCATAGCGTACACATTGTTCAGATGTTAAAAGAAACTTTACCTGCTCTTAAATGTCCAACTACATCTGCAAGGCTACCCTTCTTTACTTTGGTGATGAAGGCACCAAGGCGTCCTAAGTCAGTCATTTTTCCTCCAACAACCTGGATAATCATAAATTTATAAGTGTCCAAGACTGAAATATAAGTTCATTGGTCTGAGGAATTAATCACACAGTATTTTATAATGTATTTAGGACTGAGCGTGGGGACATTAATGAAGTGAAATACATTTTTGATTAAAGGAGCTGGTAGTATAGTTTTAAAAAGAAATCATCATCTCACTATCTTTACGATGACCATGTATTGTAAGGAAGCTTATGTACTAATTCCTTTTCTTGGCCTAACAATACAAAGGTGCATGAATAGTGCATAACCTTAGAAGGCAAATGCCAGGTCTTCCTTCCTTACCATCAAACAGGAAGTGTCTGACACTAGTTACACTAGAGTTCACTCTTCTTTGTCGTCTTAATTCATGCCCACCATTGGAATTATATTTCTAAACACGGATAATGCCCCACTGGCACAGCAGATCTTGGTCTCTTTTTTATATTTTTGTGCAAAGTAAGTCTAAGACATAAAGACTAGGAATTCAAACCAACAACAAGCCACTTTTGGGAAGTAGTTTACCATGGTCAAGGAGTAATAGCCTAAGTTTATCTCTGCTACTGGCCGTCTGAATGAGCTTCTCGCCTGACATCTACATGTGATTCAATCTAACTCTCAAAGTCTGAGTTATATTACTGAATATTTAATATTCAATTTTCCACTGTAATTAAAAATAAATACACCTGAAAGTTTCTAAGTTTATTTTTTTCCAAAGCAGGGGCTACATATTTATAATTAGAAGTCAGAGAGAGAGTCTCGAAAGTTGCGATTGATCCATAATTCGTACGGACATGTCCATTAGTGGAGGTGACCAGAATTATTTCATAGCAAGAGAAATTAATGATAATAATAAAGTGATACCATTAAGTACATTAACTTAAAATTTTTAGTTGGATTAATACTTAATGGTATGGAAGAAGTCAAACTATCACAAAACTATAATATAATCTTTTGGTAAATAATTTTAAAGCCACATCTTGAATGTTTCTCTAAGTTGTCGAAAGCAAATAAAACCATGAGATTTAACACACATGTACACACTTAACAAAACAAAATGCATGTATATATTTTTCCTACAATACAACATAATCTTTTGTAATTTATTTAATTTTATATGTTTAAGTCAATTATTATTTTTAAAGGAAACATTTTACTCTTTTGATATAAATTCTATTGCATGTAGAAAACAGTTATCTTTAATGATGTTTTATGTTGCTTGTGAACATGTAATAAAATCATGCAGTTCCACATTATCTAACTTTACTGTCGCCCATTAAAACCTTTTTTGATATAAAAATTGTTCTTGAATTTTATATTCAGAGAAATATTCTTTAGTTTTCCTATATTTTATTGCAGTTTTCTAACATATCATTAAGTCATATTAATAAAGTATTTCAAAAATATTAACCTAGATAAAATACTAAATCTACCATAAGACACCAATATATTAATGAGACATATTCACTAGAAGGACTTTATTTGGAGAAGAAAATATTTAAAAATCACTGTCAGAAACTCTGTTGAATACATTCCACACGGTAATCACCCTGTAAGAAACATTTTAAACCAGCATACTTACTTTCAGACCCAGTAATGCACCCGGTTCTTTGGGCATGGTTGTTCTCTTGTTAAGAATAACACGTCCGATCAATCGGTCCCCCTCTTTAGATGGTTGCCACGTTACAGGATGCTATGAAAATGTGAATAAAGTTAAAGAAAAGTTGTTTCCTTTCCTATAGACACATAATTATTGGTTGTCATAAGATATGATTTTCTCAGTTAAAAGACATTGCAGAGGGAATTCTTGATTCTGGTGGGCTCTATCCTTGTAACAATTTTCATTTTCAGCTATATTTTATTTGCAGTAGACACTATTATCCTAAATAGTTCTAAAAGTAGTCAGCAGTTAAGTACATCCCTAAAAATAGTTCTGAAATAAAATGAGTTACAATTTAAAAATATATCTGCTTATATAAGAAAACTGATTCTGTATTTTGAGTTGTTAATGTTGATATATTTAACCAAATAATATCTAATTTCTATATAGTCATCATTTGATAATTTCTTTTTATTTAAAAGTTGTTATAATCATTCAGTGGTAGCTTTTTTATTCAAAACTGTCCTGTCTTAAATGAAATCAATATTTGCTCTCATAAAATGTATAACGGGGCAGAATGCTATACTTATCTATCACATCTCAGACAAAGGACAATAAACGACACACATTACCCCGAAATTCCAAACTCACTTCCCAGAAAGCTTACCGAACTAATCGGTGATGTTTCCCGGCTATGCCACGTGGCAGGATCCAACCAGTAATAATCCAAGTCACCTGCACATACGAAAAAAAAATGAAAGTGTAATGCTTTAAAGTAGAGAATGCTTTAGTCCTTTTAACTACGACTTCTTCAATCTATAAACGATTATGACTATCATAATCTTGAGTGTGTCCATCCCAGGATGATACACACCTGCAATGCAAAGGCTATGACCTGAATCCTTAGAATAAATACATGTTACGAGTGCACTTCAGACTATAAGAGAGCTTCTTTTTACTGTCATTACCAGGCTAGGAACACACCCAAAAAGTATGGGAGGTTCTGGGTTAATCCACCCCATTTCCTCTCCAGTGACTATCCACGCCAGGCACAGCCTGCCATCTAGTGATGCTGCCTACAATTGTATTCATCGATTTGAGATAAGTATTAAAATGTAGTGTCTCCCTTTCTATGGTTCTGAACTATATCCTATCTTTCAAAATTATTCCCTGGCCTCTGTCCTCTCCATCATCAGCTGTAAAGCAGGACAAATACTCTTTGGACATGATGTTGAGTAATTAAATATCAAGAATAACTTTTAGGAAAAGAGTACATACACATGACAGAGTATTAATTTCATTAAAGCCATAAAAAAAGACTTACAATCCTAACTCTGTAAACATGAACTTATGAACCTTGCATTTTTATTTTTTTTGTCTAAAAAGCATAACGTTAAAGAAAGCATCTAAGAAAAAGGAAAAACATAATGGAATGCATCCATGCTTTCAGTAATTGCACAGAAAGAAAGGAGAGTGGGTAGCCCATGTGAGAAAAATGACCTGTTACATTTCATATATCAGATTAAGTCAATTAAAATTTTTCTCCTTGTAGTTGAAAGAGAAAAATAATAAGAGAGTGAATAAAGCATGCCAGCTAGCAATGAGATGTCTAGCTGAGTACTGGTGACATATGTTGGGCTGGTATGTGTGAAAGTCCTAAGTAAAAAAAATTTTTTTTTTTTTTTATGTAGACAACAGGCATGGCAGATACAGGCTTTATAAAAGAATGATAATAGAACATAAACATTTCAAATATACAAGCATATAAAATCCATACACTTCACAATTTCTTGGTGGCTGTTCCCCTTTCTTTTTATATAATATCTTAGAAAGGTTGATGAAGAATGTTATATGTACTATAATAAACACAAAAATCTTCTTCAAATATGTCATATAGATAAAATATATTCTATAAAGGAGTGAATATTAAAAATTACATTAGCAGAAACTATATTCTGTTAAAAGTTACTCCACAGGGAGTCTATACCCCTCTCTAAATCATACACTTTAAAATGTATACATGACTTGGTGTCAATAATTATATATTTTTAATTTTTTACTGGGCCACCTCGTTAATGAAACATAAAAAAATTATAAAAGGAAAGCTTTTTTCTTCTTTATTTTTGTTGGTTTTAAAATTCATATGCTTATTTTTAAAGTTGCTATGTCTTTAGTATCATGATACTAAAGTTTTTTTCTCTTGAAAGAAAAAAGTATTTATAATAATCAAATTAAAATTAACTACAAATATCATTCAAAAGATTATTGCAATTCATAAAGCTTTCTCCCTAAAATTCCATATACCTAGAAATAAGGTCTGATGAGTTCTTAAGCGCTCATTCATTTTGAAATACTGTGACTAAAATAAAACCACTTAAATAAAATTAGTAATTACTTTCAAAGCTGCTTTGAGAAATCTTTGAGGTTAAAAAGAAATGATGAAAATCCATCCTATTTAAAAGACTTCAAGAAAACAAAGTTTGCTGTATGGTTCAATAACCTTAGATCTTAAAATCTCTATGCTTTGGGATCCTTCTCTAACTTATGGCCCAATTTCTCATATAGTGGTTCAACCCTGCGTTTCACCCAATTTTTCGTAAGTAAATCTTAAACTGTCTCCTGAATGTTTGCTTATATGGAAATAACCAAAAGATGATTTTTCTGCTATATTTTAGTGATGATACCGAGCATCCTTTACTATGGAAACACTGCTTTCAAGCAGTTTATTCTATCATCTGTAAGCTTTGTAGGATAACGATCTTGATGGAGAGTTTCTTTTCATGGTTTGAGATGGGACACATACAGTTTGCCAGGTGATGTCCGTGTGCAGCCACAACTATTCCTACCACATCCTGGCAGTGGTAATGTGGATGCTACAGATTTTGCAGCTTAAAAAGAAACATTTTCCCTCAACTTTAGCCATGGATAGTATTATAGATATTTACAAAAATCATACAATAATATTTTATATATTTTAGTATACAATTACACTTCCTTCATATTCTCAACAGATTCTAAAAGTTTTATCACTGATTTCCATTATCACTCATTAAAGTATAAAATTTTTGTTTAAAGACAAAAAACAAATTTTAAAATCTAAATATAGAGTTTTAAACTATATTTGTTTCTTTTTTCCCTGTAATTACTAAATTTGAAGATATATTGATTTTAAGTGCTCTATTTTGTCTATGTAAGTCACATCTTTTTATTAATGGACTAAGCAACACTCAACAAAACTTTCTCCTAAAATGTTCAGACTCTGGTATTTCATTAATATAAAACATTTTCCTTGATTATTTTTCTAATACATGGTTAAAGATATCAATTTCAAGTGGCATGCCTACAAAATGATAAATTCACAGTACAAGGAATTAGTACCAAAGCTCTAATGTTCAATATAACTATAAAGGAATGAATTGACTACTACCATTAACTTCGATCCAGGAAATGTCTGAGTCTACTGAAATGGCTCAAGTTCATAAATTGCTAAGTTCAATGAAGTGCTATAATTTTAAGTATTATTTTTTGTGAAGACTTTAAAAATAGACTTTTATTTTATCCCTTTGGAAAAAAACTAGGTTAAACAATACATAAGCACACAGCTTTTTTTCCACAAATAAAAGTCAGTTAAATGCAATGTGAGCCTTCTGCAGAGGATAGAACTGTCTCTAAACTCAGGTCATCATGCTTAGAGTATATAATAATGCATGAACTTGCATCTCTGATTTCAAATTGTGTGTCTTTTGTCTACTGTGAAGCACAACATATTCCAATAATACCAATCAAAGTCTAACAAAAGTATTCTAAATAACATAGATGTATGATTGTGTATGAGTATGTGAAGTCTGTAAGGAGCAAACCATAACTCTGATTTCATTCATCACATATCTATTTAATAATTTTCATGGCATTTAATCAAGTAGAATGTTCATCTGATGCGCAGGTCATAAAGGAAAGCTTATCTGCACTAACAAACACTTTGCAGTATTAGAAAATCTGGAATTCTTCTTCATTGCCAGTAGAAATACACAGCATCTTTTTAAAACATCACTATAATGAATGGTAATTAAAGATGGGACTCAAACTGATTACAAGATTGACTCATAGCAACTCTTCGCAATTTCAAATACATATCATAATTGTGCTACTTGTCATGCTCCCCCCAAAATTTGTTCTTCCTATATAATACAGATTGTTGACATTCAAAAAAATTATAAAATTCATAGACCAAAAATCAGAAGCATCATCTTTCCCAGAGATTTCCTACACTTCTTAACATGTTTTCCTCTTTTTTTTTGTTTATTCTCTACAGCAGGATGTGTGTTGACACTAAATAAAATTAAATAAATACTAATCTACCTTATTATAGCATAGTACACAAACAAATTAAAATAATGGGCAAAATATATAGGTATTAAATGTTTTATGTAGTGCATACACAAAAACCAACTGAATTCCAAGAATGGGCTTTTAATTTGAGACAAATTAAAACACCAAGTACCATGGCCAGCACACATGAGCTAATAAATACTGCTTTGGTTATAATGTGGTAAAAACATTTATGCATTTTAGCTCATTTTAATATTTTACAAGGACATTCTTTTCATTGACAGGAATTAAAGTCCAAGTCTAAGAACTGAGATAAAATCTTACCTTCTGGTTAATATAGTGAAAATAACATTTTGAAATATTTTTTTCCTATTTTAGAAAACTATTTCAGATAATTTTATGTCTACAAAAGGTGTGTCCACTCCTACCCCTAAATTATAAACAATAGTGGAGCTACCTTTGGAATAAATCAGCAATAATGTGCTATGCAGCAAAGTCTTAGAAGGCCTAATTTCACCTAAATTAAATTAGCAGTCAGGGACAGAAACACTATTATTTAATAGGACTTACTTTCTATGCAATAAAATTAAATGGGAAGATATACTTGTTAAATTTAACTATTAATCATATGATCTATGAAGTATTAAAACCTGTAAATAAATACTAATATGTGTACTGAGGCAAAATCATGAATGAATTACTGTCAGTCTAAGTTCCTAGTAGAGTAAAAATATTGGTCCTCAAATACTTTCTGGTGACTTTATTCAAAATCCACATCAGTGTTCACCCCACAATTTGATGTAAGACTAGAGGCATCTCCAAACCACTGGTCTTCAGCAAGAACCTCCTGAATAATTCTAAGTAACTTAAAATCCAATTTCTGGCTTGGGCCCACGACACACGCACACACAGTGTTATTCCTTGGAAGAACTACATTATCTCCAGTCCTTAAGGATTCATTAGAGTGGCAGTTCTTTAAATGCATGCTAGAAATTTCACTTTGAAAATGTCCCTTTGTTCACAATGTGTTGTTTGTTCCTGTCATAGAATCAACAATATTGCTCTCTCCTCCCTCTCTTCGGTATATAAATTTGATGGTCAAGTAAATGCATAAACTATTTTTTATTAAGTTAATGCAGTGTAAAAAATGGTTATATTCAGAAATTATTTATGCTCAACAGAACCTCCAGAGTTGAACTACCTCTGAGGTGCCATCTCGGTGTTTTATAAGTAGCTTATCTACAAAAGGGGAATTTCTTATTTAGTAGAGGTGGTACTTTTCTGGTTACATGTATTTTTTAGTTAAGTTGAGAACTAATTCTTGGAATGCCAACTCTACCGCCACAGAATTCTACAAAGCAGTTATATGGAGCTCAGAGGCAACATTTCTGGTTGAGCTTT